TACACTTTTGATTTTTATGTCTGTAGCAGATAAATCTCTGGGTTAGCTCCTTTCTTCATACCTACTTAAATGGCAGTGGGTTTTTTATTTCTTACTTGGTATACCCCTCTAGCCTGTCTTTACCTGAGGATGCAGACTTCTCAAGTCATCCTTGAAGTTCTCCTGAAGCATATACTCTTCCATGCCAGTCAGCTTGCTACTGCTCCTCTGCTTACAAGTTCCTTCACAGCCTTCTTAAGTGCCAGCAGCTTGGTCTTTTACAGGTCAGGTGAAGTCCCTCCCTGTGATACCGGCTCCTTTTATTCAGGAAGCGTTCCAGGTCCTGATGGGTTTGAAACCTTTCTCCTTGCACTGTCTTCTTGGCCAAGTATTCAGACCGTGTATTCCACCGCTCTCCCTGGTTTTCTGCACTTTCGGAGTCCCTGTTTTCAGCTTCTTCTCCAGGAGACTAAATTTTGCCTCTAGATCTTGTCTCCTGCTTTTGCCTATATTTTTGGTATCCACACAGACCACAGCTCTAGGTTTTTCCCCAACTCTTTTTATTACCCCATTTTTATGTTGTTATTTTTAGGCCTTTAAGCAAGGGTGAGGTCTGCTTGGATACAATACTGCTTTATGAATAACTAATATAACTACTCTGATCCAATAACAATTCATTTCTTTTTTAGTATGCCCTTAGGAGTAGCCACAAAGTTTGCGTTCATTTTTCTCATCAAGTGCTTTTGATAAACAGATTAAAAACCAAAAACACAGTTGGGATAATGCAGGAGGTTATCAAGCGACTGAAAAGAAGTCAGTCTTCTTTCTTAATGAAAATGAGATGCTGAGTAGGAGCAAGACCAATGGGAACATTGAGAATTCATTACGAGATGTTTTACAGGGGAGAGGCAATGTCAAATGATTCTGCTCAGACTTGCAGCTGTTAAGACTCAGCTGGAAGCTGTGGAAGACGAGTTTGTACGAAAATGCTTACTCTAATAAGCCGGGAAGAAACTGAGGTCAAATGTTATCTTAAGGATTGAATGTGCCTAAATAAATCCATGCGTTTGTCCTCTTACGTTTTGCAGTGACCTGGTAGAATAGTTTAACGCTGGTAATTGGAGAGGTCAAACAGTAATGAAGAAACACGATCGTATAAAGCCGCCTCACTAAAAGCAGGCAAAAGCCAACTTAATATTTAAACTGAGGGGATGGGTGGAGAGCTGCACATGTCTGTCCTTTGCTTGGTAGGCAGCTTTGCCTTCCTACCTGTGCATGCCAGAGCTAACCACGTGCTTATAACTTACCTCCTCCTCTTCTGGGCTGCTCTACACCTCCTCTAGCAATTCCTTTAACTTTGAAAATACCATTAACACGGGCTTTGTGGCTCTGTCCCTCTCCAGTGGGTAAACTTCACGGAAATGTTTGTTTCTGGCTTTGAGCTAAAATATCTTGACACCTTATACTGGGTTGTAAAAGCCTCTTGGGGTTTTTTTTTGGTCACTGTGAGCAACACGGGGATGCTACCTCCCCTCCGCCCCTCTTTTGATGTCTGTTAATGTATGCCTTAAGGCATTCTGTAGGGACAAGTTGAAGCACTGCAAGCTTCTTGGCTGAGTTACAGCTTCTTGAAATAGAGGCGGAAAGTGGCCCAGAAGTCGCCTGAAGCATTAGCTATATTTCAGAGCCCTGTGGTGGGAGTGTGGGTGTACGTGTAGGGGTTGTCTTCCTTTCCCTCGCTTGCCTCTACTGTTGGAAATCATCTCCTTCACAACCCCTTGAATCCGCTACCCCCAGCTCTCTTGTAATAAGAAGATGAGTAAGAATAAAGGCCAGATTCAATTTGGATGAAAAGGAGCTTAGCTGAACAAAGTAACAAGCTGAACCAATTTTTGCCTCATTTTCAATTAAATCCCCTGATAGGATGTTAGCATAAGTTAGTATTATTGCCTCTGCCATGAGGGCAGTGTAATCTAAAGACATAAAAATCTTGCTTTCAAAATCGCTTTGGTTTGCTTCCCAATATCTCTTTTATTTTACTCCAGACTATACCAAATGCTGGTATTAAAATTGTCTTCCTTCCTTGACACAAATCATACCAGTTTGCCTGCTGAAATACCTGGTGACACCATCTCTTCTTCTGGATCAGCTGGAGGCTTCTCACCTAGCCTGAAAAGAATTCCTTGTCTTCCTGCTTTCTCACCCTTTTC